AGTAGCAGCTGTGTTACTCAAACCTATGCCCAGTAACGTGAAAGAACTACAATCTTTTCTTGGCTTTGCTGGATATTACAGACAACATATTAAAGATTTTGCCAAAGTTAGTGGAAGTCTTTATAAAATTACCAGTCCCAATACTGCATTTGAAATGACAACTGAAAGAGTAGAAGCATATCAGAAACTGAGAGACTTACTTACCTCTGCACCAATTCTTTTTATGCCTGATCCATCAAGAAGTTTCAAACTATATGTAGATGCTAGTATGGAAGGACTAGGAGCAGCATTACACCAAATACAAGAGCCAGATGGAATTCCCAAAGAAGGAGTAATATGTTATATATCCAGAACCCTTAAAGACAGTGAGAAAAAGTATGGTGCTAGCCAACTGGAATGCCTTTGTCTTGTCTGGGCTTTAGATAAATTGTATTACTACTTAGATGGTTGTACATTTGAAGTTATTACAGATTGTAATGCTCTGAAAAGCCTTCTGAACATGAAAACACCCAACAGACACATGTTACGTTGGCAAATAGCCATACAAGAATGGAGAAATAGTATGACAATTTCCCACAGAGCTGGAAATATTCATAAAAATGCTGATGGACTGAGTAGATGGTCCCTTGAAAACAATGAGTTGAACCCAGCTTGGGATGGGGAAATTGCCGCAAAAATTATGTCTCTATTCCCAATGGAAAATTCTGTAGAAAACTATGGATTTGATAATAATGAGGATATCATTTGTGTCAATGGATTACATATAACAGAAATGGAGGAAGAATTCTGGGATGAAGTTAGGAAAAGTTATGCTTCTAACAAAAATTTATCCACTATAGTAGAAATTCTTCAAAGTAAATTCAGACCAAATGAGTTGATTAACTCATTAGAAGAACCCTGGCTAACATCATTTAAAGAAGATAGATTTGCATTATATGATGGATTAATTTACCATAGAACCAAACATACCAGTGTTGTTACCATATGCTCACCTGAACACATTAACTTATTCCTGAAAGAATGTCATGATAATATTACATCAGCACACTTCTCTTATGACAGGACTATAGAAAGGATTAAGAATGTGGCATGGTGGCCCAATTTTAAAAATGACACTAAGAAATATTGTGAATCATGTGAAAGATGCCAGAAAGCCAATAAGGCAACGGGAAAAAGATATGGACTACTACAGGAAATTGAAGAACCCAAAGAAAGATGGTGTGTAATTAATATGGACTTTGTTACTGGATTACCACCTGGAGGACCCAATAACTTCAATGCTGTACTTGTAGTAGTAGATAGATTCTCTAAGAGAGCAAGATTTCTCCCTTGTCATAAAGAAGACACTGCCATGGACACAGCCTTACTATTCTGGAACTCTATCATTTATGATGTAGGTTGTCCTAGATATATTATTACAGACAGAGACCCTAAATTTACATCTGAATTCTGGAGAAACTTATATGATCTGTGTGGTACACAATTAAAATTTTCCACTGCTTACCACCCACAAACTGATGGCCTAGCTGAAAGAATGATACAAACTCTAGAAGACATGATCAGGAGATACTGTGCTTTTGGATTGCACTTTAAAGATAAAGACAGTTACACTCATGACTGGGTTTCCCTTCTTCCTGCTCTAGAGTTTGCATATAATTCTAGCAAACATAGTACCACCAATAAGACTCCATTTGAACTGGAAAGAGGATGGACACCCTGGTTCCCAAGAGATGTACTATTGAATAAAGCTGTACACATTCATCCCAGTGCCACAGATTTCCATTTCATGATGACTAAAGCAGAGAAATATGCCTCTGAATGTGTTAAACAAGCTGTAGATTATAATAAATCTAGATGGGATAAAACTCATAAAACCCACAAATTCCAAATTGGTGACCAAGTGTTAGTATCCACACTAAATTTTACCAACTTATCTGGACCAAAGAAATTACGTGATTCTTACGTAGGACCTTTTACAATTAAACAATTACACGGGAAAAATGCTGTAGAAGTTATTCTCACAGGAGAATTTGATAAGAAACACCCTACTTTTCCTGTTAGTTTAATTAAACCTTATGTAATAAATGACAATGAGAAATTTCCTTTAAGGAAAGATAATGTGAGAGTAGTAATTCCTCCATTAGAAGAAGAAATAGTGAAAATTAAGAAAATTTTACAACATAGGAAAATTAGACAAAATAATACTGACATTAAACAATATCTGGTTAGATATAGTGGTAGTAAAGAAGATGAATGGCTACCTGTAGA